CTACCACTACTAAATTACTCATTACATTCATGTATCAGTCCCCTGATCACAGAGAGTCGCTGTGCTTGGTGATTCACCTACAAAGGATTAAGATATCAGCCCTGCTCTGGAGATCTTACCTGCAGGACCAGGCAGAACCAAAGGATGGAGGCAGTAGAGCAGAGGGAACGGAGGCTCAATCTACACTGCTTTGCAGCCTGGCTTTGTATTAGACTTCAGTTCACAGTGTTCAACAGCTTATCCCTGCAGGATCAAAGCAGAAGCAGCAGCAAGTCTTCCCCCTGTGCCTTCATTTCTTTAGGGAGCACAGGCAGGCTTCCTCCAGAACATAATCAGGGACTGCCAAGCGGGATTAGACAGAAACCCATGTGCCTGTGTAATACATCACATGAAAGATGCAGAAATGTGTAAGCTGACTCTTTCAAAACAGACTTCGTGTGACTGTATAATCTACATCTGCTCTGGGTTTCCCCAGTAAATCTAGACTTCCTAAGTATTCACAGCCCAACAACGAAAATAATTCTGTGCTAATTCATGCCTGGACCTTTGCAGAACCTAAAAAAATACTGTCCAGATTCTCTTCGATGGCAGAAGGAAATATAGAACATATTATCTGAAGAAGGCATCAAGAGAAGTGTTTATATGTGTATCAGAGGCCTGCTTGTCCAAACCTAAATTTATATAATTAAATATGTTCACATGTACAAAAACATGTGAAGAGAATTGGGAGAGGCAAGCTGCTAGTTTCGCAAGAACTTTTGGTCTGAGCAAATGAAGCTGTGCCACCTATGGTCCAAATTCAGTGAACAGAAAAAAATCAGCTCAAAACTAGAGGTCAAGAAAAATTTTGAAAAATAAAAGTCAGTGGATGCTTTGCCAGTATCAGCATTGCAAGACACAATCCTGAAAATATGGTCTATCGAAAGCTATTAAATCCAGGGATATTTCTCTTGATAAGTGTATGTGAAGTAACTGGGAAAAAAAATCCATCACTTTGCCCCCTGCAGCCACTTTGTCAGATCACTAAACCACTAGAGAAAGCACCAACCCTTTTGTTTCTGGTTTTGCCACCACTGTTGTTTCTATCCGACAGCAGCACTGCTCAGCAGCCAGAGCTGGTGCCTGTTCTGGGGCAGTCACAGGCAACTTCCAGTTTCCTGGTGCCCATCAGGGCAGCACCAGTTGCAGCAGGCTCTCCAAAAGATTCAACATGGGGACCTGGGAGAAAGCACTGCTTCAGGGCTGATCTAGGGAACTGAAATAATTGCAGCAGGAACTCTTTTGGGCAGGAATTACATGAATATAAGACAGGCATTAATTTTAAAAGCCTCATTGCAGAAATAACACAGTTGGAAGATCCCTACATTGTCTCTTTATGCTCAGTTGTTTAAGCTAAGCTTTCCTTTAAAGCATTCCTAAGGCCTTCCTCCTGAAAACATACCACAATGTACATACTACAATATTAGTAGCCTGAAATCAAATTGAGACAGTTAAGAAGATACTAGAAACTAATAGGAAACTAAAGATCACCTCCTATGAATTTAGATGAATGTTGGCCTTGATGATTTGTGTTTTTATTCCTGTAATCCCCACAGCCAACAAATGACAATTTTCCCTCCTCAGAGGGTAGGTACTGCCTTGAAGTCAGAATGCTTATCAGACAGACAAAAAGTAATTAAATGACTGGAGGGACACAGTAATGTGTGTCACAATTTCTGTGTGGCCAGGCCACATCCCACAACCAGAGTGCTCTGGTACTTTGAATTTACCACCAGAAACCCAGCTCTGTATCAGTCTGAACCACTAGGAGAAGTAGACAAGACTTGGAAATAGCACAGATCCTTTTGCACAGTGTAAACACAAGGCAGCAGATGCTTCCATGTTCAGGCTTGGCTTCAGGTGGCAGCAGCCTGAAGGGCTCTACACTGCTCAGGAAGCAGGATGCAAACACCTCCTTCCCACAACCTCTCCAGAATGGATTTTTATCTTCCATAAAATTACCAATGGACGATCAGGGTGATTTAAATCAGTACTGGAACTTCTACTACCAAGACAAATTAAACAATTTGACGACCCCAAGAGATGTCCCTCCCCTCACTCAGTGTCCCTATAAATAGCTTATCACAAATGGCAGCGATGGGTGAAGATTCCAGGTACAGCAACTTTCAAACAGAACAAAATTCACAATATTTTAAATTAAGTAAGACCACTACTGGACAATCAGAAAATTTCTCCATGTCATTTCAACAATCTTACTGAAAGGAAAGGCACTTAGGCACAGAAAATACTCTCTGCTCAATATTGCATGTAAGGAAGTCATACAGAATACTTACATAACTAATGTGTGGATTAATTTATGGGTTACTATTTACTAAAGGAATCTGGACAGTGTTTGTGTTCTGTACCTTGAAATTCATCTCCAGATGTGGGCTCTGAGTTGCAGGTGTAGGTCACAGACACAGTGTCAGACAGTGACACGTCTGCAGGGCCATCTTTCCCCGCTCTTACTGAGTACAGGTGCTCACACTGATGTCTGTTCAGTCTGTTCACTGGGTGTAGCCAGAAGCCATCCCAGCACAGAAATTTCTCTGGTACAGAGTAGCTAAAGGCTGCTTCCTCTGTGACAGGGGCTGCCCTTCAAGAGATCTTTCCAGCAGGATCCTTGGGAATAGACCATTTTAACCCTTCTTACCCCAGAATTACTGTCCAATTACATATCAATGCATTTAATGTGACTTGCAGGGTCTACCTAGAAGGGCAACCTTTCACTTGTGGAAGAACCATTTAAACAACCACAGTACCACCCCTTCCCTGGGGTCAGCTGTCCTGTGACTGCCAAGGTTTGTCTGAGTGTACTGTAGGAACAGAGCTGTGCCCCTGTCTGATGGTGAGAGGGACTGCAAACACTGCTGACAGCTAAATCCTCTCCACTTGGAACCACATCTGAATTCAGCTGCCTGGATCATGTGCTGTGTGGCTTTTCTGATTTTTTTTTTTTTTTTTTTTGCATAATCACAGCAAAGATGGGCTGTAAATAAAAATAAAGAGAATAATAAAAATAACCCCACTTATTGTATACACAAGTCCTTTTAATCAGGCCCCAAATTAATTTCAGAAATGTGCTGTCACATTTCACAGATGCAAGATATTCTCAAAGAGCTGAAACCAAACTTGAGCACATTTCTGGGTTTATCCTAAAATACTGCGCATTTTGCTTATTGAAGAAATTAGATGATCCTCTTCTACCCAAAGTTTTAGACCTCAAGCCAATCGTCTTGTTTTAGAACCACAATATTCCAAGGCAAGTCACAGTATTTTTAAGTTGGTTAATAGAGATTATGTTCGAAATTTAAGGGAGGAAATATAACACTTCTGTATGAAATCAAAGCTGATTTTACAAGAGGATCATGCACATCTCTATTAAATTAAGTGACTTTTATCTTCCACCAAAAAATATAATCCTCCTTAACAACACCATAAAATTCCATTTGTTTTAGAAAAGCATATATCAAATAGCACTGGAACACTTTATTTCAAAAGACTTTGTTGTCTCAGCTTTGTAGCAATACTCCAATACAGGTTAAGACTTGTTAATTAAGAGATCAATGACAGGTATATAGCAAACTTAAAAAAAGGCAAGCCAAGTACAAATCCTCTTTTGAGATTATTTTTGTATTTTTCATCTAAATGGGAAACAGTAGGCATGAAACATCTATACAACAAACATGAAACAACTATGCCATTTTTCCCTTAATGATCTCTAGAGCTTTTGATCTGGCAACTGGAAAACAACCTTCATGTTGCCATACTCAGGGGACAGACTCCTGACTGAGTATGGATGCAGAAAGCCATAGTACTTAAATACACACAACGCTCTAAGCCCACTTCCATCTCCCCCGTGGCAGCAGCACATTAGTTAGAGGAATGCTCAGTGACACCAATCAACACTGAACACATGCAAGGGACAGTAACTCCTACTGTGCCTCAGCCAGCTGTAAAAAACACCTCCCCCCCTGTTTTAACAGGCTAAATATCGATCTTGTATGCATTTTCACATAGTGTGAGGAACTACTGACCACTTAAAGGTGTTACACATGGATCCTGTACACTAGAGCCTTGCAGAAGGATTAAAGAATTAATTGCTGACTGGAACTCAAGGTACATCTGTCCTATTCTGCAGAATTAGTGTGGTACAGCCTGTAAGAATGCAGGAGACCAGATAAAATTTAAAAAACCTACAAACAGGGTATGGCATTACAGCAGGGGTATCTGATTACTGCCTGGCTGTAGGTAACACAGGCATCTTCAGGGCAACTACATACCAACTACAAGCAGGATGGCACTATAGGAAAAAATGAGGAGTTCTGCCTAATTGTTATTTCAAATATTTGAAACTTAAGCTTCAATGACTTTGCATTTTAGAGTTTTATAATGGCTTTAGATGTATTTAGAACCTTAAATGTCAAACTTTCAAGGACATTTAACTAGGATTTTTAAAGATACAGAGAGAGGGAAACAACAATGTTACAGAGGTCTTGCAGTCCAGGAATCTAAGTTAATAAAAACAAACTTCAATATAAACATATTTCCTAAGACAGTTTTTTTACTCGTTCCCTCCTCCCCCTTCACAGAAGCTCTCCAAAACAAAATGTTATTCACTGAGGCTGTGCAAAAATGGAGTTCAGGAATAAAGGTTCAAGCAAAGCCACTGAAGCAATGAATAGCATGCACACACAGTCCAGGCATTCCTCTTTTCAGAGGTTACTCCACTCAAGAATTTTCTGCCCATAGTTGTGCTCCTCATGCTCATCTCTGAGATGCAGTCAGACTTAGTAAACCACAGGTGACAGTCAAGGGCCTGATAGCTCACACAGAGAGAGGAAGTAGGCATTTTACAGACTAAATTACTAAATCTCATATTCTACAAACAAGAACTGCTTGGTATTTGGGAAGTGAGGGTTGTATTGCTCATAGCTGCATTAATCAGATGGAGACTCAGAACAGACAAATTAGTGAATTTATTTATGCAACACCTTACTCCACGATATCAGCTCAGAGTCAGCTATAACAGCCTAATAAAACTATGCACAAGGCTGCGAATTCAAAACAAGTTTCTACATCCAGTAACACCTTGAGATTAAGCCTAAGTATCACTAAGAAGGCAATCTTAGGTAGGTCTGAAGGATGCAGACTTCACAACATTACAACAAAAACCCTCAATTTTTTGCAGTCTGAGTTTGGCCAGTCTCAGCCTACTAGTGGACTTCAGAAGAGTTTTCTAGCATAAGCTCATTTTTACTGCCTTGGCAATTATGGCCCACATCCTTCAACATTTTTTAACCTACTTTCGAATAGATGAAAAGATTGAAATCTGCCTTCATTCTGAAAACAGATTTTTGTGGCAGCAGTTTAAAAAGTTATTTTCCAAAGCCTTCCTTTTCAGCATTTTAAAACATAGATATGTACTCCAAATAAGTTTAGCTTTGACAAAGAAGTTTCAGAATAAGATAACGAAACATGATATTGTCAAAGCTTTTCAACTAGAACATACGAAGAGCCTTGGGCTTTTACCAAGGCTAATTACAATCTCAGAAACACTGTTTCAGTTTAAAAGACTCATGGACAAAAATTTCTGCTTTCCTTCTAGAAAGATCAAATGGTTTGTTGCCACAACAAATCTCACCTCTTTAAAACTTCAAATATGTTACGTCTTATTCCATCTCCTTATAATTTTGCCCTTCAAAGGTCAAAACACAAGCATCTCCATCCAAGCCACCTATCAACTGCAAGGCTCCTTCTATTAGAAAGGATTTTTAAACGAGGAGGAAGAAAATCAAAGATTTTTCTCATTTATTCCAAGCAGAATGACTATGGAGAAATGACTCAAGCTTAGGTAGTAAAAGTTAATGGAATGCCATCTGAAATGAAGACTGACTCAGTAACACGAGACCTGCGAGTCATTTGTTAATCTTCAATTCAAAGCCCACTAGAACAACTTGTATAATACCAGTGAAACAGAAGATACTGCTTGTTTTTCCTCTTGAGCAGGAGAACAAGCTTTAAATAAGAACATCAGTTTTTGGTCATGTGATAAAATAAAAATCGCTAACTGCTATGTCCCCCAAAAAGATTGATTACTTAGCAGTTAAGAATCAATACTAGGTAAACTTGCACTAGAATGACTTTATTCTGCTCATCTACAAGACTTGCATAAGATTTATTTTTGGATTTCCATTTGGTATGTGGGTATTTTATGCTTTGCATGAGGCATTTCCTCCTCCTGAATGTATTGCACCTTAACAGTATACCATCTTCTGGAGCATCCTTTCTCTGGAACAGTTAAGATCTGTAACATCAGGCAGTATTTGTGGAGACTGAGACTAGATTTTTATAAGTGGAATTGTCTAGACCAGATGGAGAAAGAAATCATCATATAATGCTCCCCTAATTGTTGCTAGTGCCTTATGGGTTCATTTCTGAACTCAAAAATCTAAAAAAGAAAAAAAAGTTCAAATGAGTTAAAATTGAAACATTTCTGTTTAGAAAGGCAAATATGAATAGGAAATAAAGTACAGGTACATGTGATATTAAATAATACAGTTTTACCTAATTCTTTATTACTTAGGTAGTAAACAATTATTTTATCAATTTAATCTTTTTTTTTTCTGGCTAAGTTATTAGTAAGTCTTAGCAGTAGAGATATGTCTCTTTCTTTCTTTCCAGAGAATATATGATATCACATCAAGTTTTTAAAGCATTTGGCGCTATTGTTATGGTTTTGCAGCTCAGTGTTCTGAATTGTTTCAGAAAAAATTTCCATGTCAACCTCAAAAGGAAGACAACATCTGCTTGTTTCACCAAATGAATTAATGTCATTCTTCACGAGACATATCCTACAAGCAGAATAGCAAATGCTTACAGCTAACTAAAACTAGCTTACAAGCATGGTGAAACAAACCTATTATAACTTCCAGTAAAGCTGAAAGAATTGCCTTCTAGAAAAGTAAACCAAACCAGCTTTCTGTAGTAATACCCAAACACGAATACAAAACTCTCCATGTCAACCATCAATCCTAGGAAAACTTGTCAAAGCAGAGAAATGGTTAGTGTAGACCCTGTTCCCTTCCCTGCTCCTGCAGCTAGCACTACCAGCTCAAACACTCTGCTTGCCAACTTTCGATGCACAGTCGCGGCAGAAGCCGACAATGTCTTTTCCCCCTACTCAGTGACAGAGGAGATAGAATATCCCATCCACTGCCTTCAAATGTTTTGGGACTTTAACCCAAATGTTTTGCCTTACCCCTGCTTTTGCTTCACACTAATACCTCACAGTCACTGCAATAAAATTTAGAGAGGATCCAGTTACTTACACAGCAAACAATTGATGTCTTATTATGCTGCTACTAAGGTACACCTACACTACAGGCTTTAAAGCTCTAGTCTTACAGCTACAGGGTGAGATCGCATCAAGCTGATCTACTGATTAAACAGCTAGCACTTAATCATGTAGATTTTCCAATTTCTTCAAACAGCAGTGAGCTACACTTGCCACAAAGCAGTTCAGCCATTCTTCAGCAAGAATGCAGAGCTATTTCAAAACTTAGGCTAAAGCATTTCAAATATCCCGGAAATTATATGAATAAACTTTTATTTTTAAGCAACAACACACACTATTTGAATAAAACTCACACATTTAACTCAGATGGAGAGTACTAAACTGAACAATCATCACTAATACATTTCCATTGGAAATGTGTTAAAGTTCACAAGGGTCTTCATTACCATCTTACTGAAGTTTTCTTATGTGTTTCTATTCTACACACCACCTGTTTCATGAAGTCATGCAAATCAAATTGTAAATGTTCAAGTAATGGGGAAGTCCATTCACTGCAAAGACTCATTTTTCACAGAAGAGCCAGGATAGGTAAGACCAATACTGCAGGGTTCTTCATAAAAGTACAGGTGTATTAGAAACCATGAACTTTCAGTTGTTCTTCCTTGACAATGCCAATCTAAAGGAGAGAAACAAAGTATTTTAGTAAAGATGACATATTGAGGCAATTACAGTGATATCAAGTTATTACAATCTTATACTTTGATTTAAAAAACTGCTATACAGTGTGTACACTCAATGAAACATTTTTCTAGTTTACAGAATGTTTCTGGGCCAAGCAGAACAATTGACTAAACAAAAAGAAAATCTTATCAGACATCTAATTTGTTCTGTAGTCCTAGAACTTTGCCAGTGTAACAACCCTGCGTTATCATTTGCATCAGAGTAGGCCTCTTTCCTCTACAGTGTTTTCAGTCTCACGATTATGGTTTGCATTGAACACTTCATTTCACAAGCACAGAGCTCGAGTTGCACTGCCAGAGAACAAGTGGGGTGTTGTAACAGTGCAAAGGCACTCTACAGTGCTTTGGTTCGTACCAGAGGCTTACTCTCATACCGCAAGTGTCATTTTACTTTCTGGCTGAAAACACAAAAGAACTACAGTGGCCATCTTTGGCTGGTTAATTAGCATCAGTACCACCTGTCACCCTATTGCTTCCAGAGAGGTTTAGATATTTATCTGCAGTCCCTCACCTCCAAGAGGAATTGGCAAATGTTCTTCCTCTGGTCACCTTGCAGCTGGATAACTTCACCGTATTCAGGATGCTCAATCACAGTACCATTACAAGCAAATTTCTAAGAGAAAAACATCCACATTATAAGACATCTGATGCACATTGTGATTTTGCTTAGTCAGTCTTTTCAGAAGAACTTTGTCTCAGAAGCTGCTTACTATTTTGATGCCAAGCCAGGCAAAGGTTAAATCAATTTTACTGGCTCTGAGGGCAAATGGAATATATCTCCTGACACATACATACACAAACTAGACTGCTGATGGTAAATTCAGGGAATGACCGGATTAGCTACTGTGCAGAAGGAAATGGCCAACAGTCATTGCAAGAGTGAAAAACAAAGTCATAAGATACAGCCTTTCAACTCCACACTATTTTAAAATAAGTATTTTTATCCTGGCAGAACTAAAGGCCTCTATTTTGAGCAACGACCCAGCTGTAACAGAGGCAGGAATAAAAAGCAGCTCTACTTTAAACTGATTTTATTCTTCATATCAACAAAGCCATAGATCTGTGAAATTTAAAAGAAACATTCAGAATATATTTTATTTACTTCTTTTTAAGATAGAAATGTTTAACCTTTTAGCAAAACCAGTGTCACTGGACACTGATAAATGTTTTGAGAAAGGGAAAGTACTTGAATATGAAAGTGGCGTGCACCGGAAAGAATGAAGTGAAATAAATATTTTGTTACTTAGTATTAAAAGCTATCTTACTCCTTTAAAAATAATCATTATCAAATCAGCAACTTCACCTTTTTGAAAGCTTTCACAAGTTTCTTCTTGTCATAATCATCTGCAATGCCCTGAACAGTTGTTAGCGTCTTTCTTCCGTTTCGTTGCTGGATCCTTATATGAATGTAATCCTCAGTCCCCGCCGGGAGTAAGTCGTCGCCCTTTGTTGCATCAGCAAAGGGGTCTGCAGGAGGAAAAAGGTTCATGTAATTCCCACAAAGGAAAACACCCAAGTTCAAAAGTAAGGAGGAAGATTCTCACTTCACAGAAAATTATCATTGTATTCAGGGTATCATCTTGATGTGTAATCCCTGTTTAAAAACACACTGTTAAAACCAAAGTGCTTTTCCTAAGGCTGTATTAAGTATCATTACACTAGGCGCTCAGGACAGCCCTCTCAACTAGCACGCACACACCTTCCCAGGTAGGAATGGTTTTCTGCTACATTATCAGTTTGCTTCATTGTTTCTTGCAAACTGTAAATCCTGACCCTGAAAACGTGATTCTGAGAGAACACCAAATGCACTGAAGTTTTAGACAGCCACGTACATTTAAACTGAAATAAAGCAACTGCTTCTCTTACCAGATCAACTGATAAGAACAGAGAAATAGAAAAGCTCTAGAACAGACATTTCCTTACAGGTCCAGAACAGAACACTGTGGTAACTACCACACTTCCAGCATGTTAAGCCATGGATAACTCTAGGCTACTAACAGAAATGAAAGAGAGATACACTCCAACAGATGTCAGAGGCTGCCTGGAAACCAGAACTCCTACAGTCAGCAGCTTTAGTCAAGAAATGTAACAAAATTAATTTAGGCTTAGACTAAGAAGAAAGGTCAGTTCTCAAATTCTTCCAAGCTTAGCATTTATCTAGCACAGGCAAACAGAAAAGCATTTAGAAAGAAGGGGGCTTCTGGGTTAACACTTCTTATACTCTGTACTTCACAAAAACATACTTAACACTCAATCAAGAAATTTTACAGCTCTACAAATCTCCTCATCAGTAGCTCCAAATCAACCTTGAAGCATGAAGTATTTTGTTACTTTTCAAGAACAATCACAAATAATTTTTTGTACTAATCAGAACGATATTTAAGAGCCCATGTAGGTTCAATAGCCATGCAAGCTAAAATTTTTCCCAAACTTCCATTCAAAACTCAGCTCTAAAAACACTGGTCAAGTTTTCCCATCCACTAGAAAGCAATGCCTCAAATGAGTAAAACTTCAGCAGAAACACAAAAAGTAGTTCAGCTGCAGATCCTTGTAGAAATAAGAATTACATGAGCATTAAAGACACTGAAAGCATAATGAGGATTCAAGCACCACAGGAAACAAATACAGCATTGGGAACCTCGACTAGATCAACTTCTACTATGGAATTTGTTAAACCATGCTGAATTTTACTGTCTCCCACAGCTTGTGGATCAAACACTAACAGAAAATCTTAAGTCAAAGAAAAAGTGAAAGAAAAAGAAGACTTGGGCATGAGGATCACTTGGCAGAGTTTAGGACTCCAGGCTGCAGATAAGCCAAGATAGCTTGGCAGAGTTTAGGGCTCTAGGCTGGAAATAAGCCAGCGCTGTAGGTGTCAACACTGGATCCCTTCAAACAAATCCTCTGGGCGGACCTTCCTTAAGCACAGAGTGAGCTCCCAAATCTTGACTGAATGCAACCTTCTCACATGGCTAATACGTGCAGAAGATCAGAGTCCACACTGTGACCAAAAGCCTGAGACTACTGTATAAAGTGCTAACTTGCTCACTTCTGCTGCTTACAGATAAGGCAGGAGGAGAACGCTGGCTCGGCACGGTTAAACTTCGCTGCTGAGAAATGATCTGCTCTGCGTACCTCACTCAACAGAAACAATAATCTTTGCAGGGCTTGTATAGCGTTTTGGGACATTGCTGAGGATAGGATGCGGCAGCAAACCAACTGTAACTGATGAAATGATTTCCTCAGCAGAGGATACGAGCCCTTGATACGGGGCGTCAGAGCTGAGAACATGGCAGCACCTCCTTCGGGAGCAGCGAGGGGCTGAGCCTCCCGCCCGAGGTCTCCTCGCCGCACGCACTGAGCGCGTCCCGAGGCCGGCGACGCGGGAGGACAAGGACGAGCCGCCGGCGCTGCCTCACGGAGCACCGCGGCGAGGCCGCTCAATGTCACCGCGGGGGCGGGGGGCCCGCGGCAAGGCGGAGGCAGACGGCGGGGCCGGGGGCGATGGGTGGGTTTGCCGAGGGGGTGGCTGCGGGGGTGGCGGGGTGCCGGCGGCTCTTACCGAAGGATTGGAGGTTCTGGATCGAGGACATGCGACTCTGCGGCGAGAGGCTGGAGCTGCGGGGAAGCGAGTCCGCTCGGGTCACGTCTCCGGCTCCGCAGTGCCACGCGGGGGCGGGGAGCGGGAGGGAGCGAGGGAGGGGTAACAAAAGCGGAGGGACGCGGGGAGCGAGCCCGAGCCGGAGGACGAGAGCGAAAGGAAAGAGTAAGAAGAGGAAGCGCTAAGGGAAATAAAACGTGGAGGGAGGGACGGACCCCCCGCCCCTCGCCCGCACCGCCCCACAGCACCGCCAACGGGCGCCGCCCGCCGCGCTCCGCACAAAATGGCGTCCCGCACGTGACGGCCCCTCAGCCGCCCGGTGTACGGAGTCACGGAGCCATTCGTTTGGGAAAGGCCTCTGAGGTCATCGAGCCCAACCCGTGACCGAGCATCAGCATGGCAGCCAGACCATGTCACTGGGCGCCACATCCAGGCGGTGACTCCATCACCTTCCTGGGCAGCCCATTCCAGTGTATAATCACCCTTTCTGTGAAGAAATTCGTTCTCATGTCCAGCCTGAACCTCCCCTGCTGCAGGCTGAGGCTACATCCTCTAGTCCTGTAGCTGGTTCCCTGGGAGAAGAGACTTACCCCCACCTGGCTACACTCTCAGGCAGCTCTAGAGAGCAATAAGGTCACCCCTGAGACTCCTCTTTCCAGGCTAACATCCCCAGCTCCCTCAGCTGCTCCTCATATGACTTGTGCGCAAAACCTTTCCCCAGCTTCACTGCCCTTCTCTGGACCTGCTCCAGCACCTCAATGTCCTTTCTCATAACAATGTTCTCCTCAGTGGATCCCCAACAGCAGTGCTGGTGTGTTGCTGGAGCCCCGTGTTCTTCATGCTGCTGGCCCTCAGGGACCCCTGTGGCCCAGCAAGGGTGACCCCCATGGAGGCCCTTCCATACTCACATCCCTTTGGCTTGGGTACTTTTCCAGCTGATCTGAAATTGGGAGAGCACTTCCCCCTTCCCCATTAAAATGTGTTGGAAACCCCAACTCCCTCAGGCCCTCCTCACTGGGTAAAATGCTGCTTTAAATGCTGAATGTGGTGAGGGAGGCAGTCAGCACCCCACAAACCACATGTGTCTCCACTTCGGGCATGACTTGGAGACACAACAAGTTCCACCTCAGCATGAGGAAGAACTTCTTTACATTGAGAGAAGCAGAGCACTGGAACAGGTTACCTAGGACGGTCATGGAGTCTCCACCTCTGGAGACATTCCAAATCCACATGGACATGTTCTTATGTTACCTGCTTTGAGGTCAGAATGCCTTGGCAGGAGGGTTGGACCAGGTGATCTTGAGTCCAGTCCAGCCTTAACTATCCTGTGATGCTGAGAACTTTGCACCCTTTCAAGTGGGTGCAGCTGCTGTCCCCCAGTCCCTAGGGGCCACCATGGATGGCTGGCATGTGGCCTCACAGGACTCCTTGCTATCCATTCCTGTTTTTGGAGGGTATCGGCAGTGTAGGGGCTGAAATGGGAAAAGTTTGCTTTTAAAATGGTGTGCAGGTGTTACAAAGCTTGCTGGTCCTTATGAGGTGATTGCTGCTTTGCAAGCTGATTGCCAAGGGGGTGCTCAGGCAGAAGTGGCAGAAAGAACCTGTATTTCTCTTTTTATTTTTTTCCATTTTTGGCTTTTATACTAAACTTCAGTCCTCTCATATCAATATTTCTTGATATAAGATATCAAGAAATACTTCTTTTCTGTGATCCAAGATCTGGATCAGCACTGCAGTAGTTTTTTGAATGCTAGTGCGCAATGGTCTAAGAAAGTTTCTAGTCCTGGCACTTTGCAAGGAAGCTTTTCCTTCTTTCCTGGGGAAAACAAGCCCACTGGCTTTGGCACAAAACCTCTGCTTACCCTTTGCTACCATCATTGATTAAACCTTTCACTGCACTATGGGCTGTAGAGGGGGGTTGTTTAACTCATTCCCAAGCAGCTGCAAAAGGCACTATTGGGGTAGTAATGGGAGAATGGGGCAAGAGCTTGAGGCCACAATTTGGACAGTGTCTGTGGATTAAGGATGCAGAACTAAACACTGAGAGGGGAGGGGGAAGGGGGATCCCAGGACCGAACCATTATAGCTTTAGGGGGTAACAGAACACACCAAATGAATCCTGCACCACAACAAGAAACCTTCCTGGAAGGTTGAGGAGGCTCAGGACACCCATCCACAGGGACATGACTCCAGGATATGAATAATACCTCTCTCAGAAAACTTGTATTACTACTAAAGTGAAGGAATTTTGGCTCTGATATATTTTTGTTAATCCTATGTCTCTCTACAAGATTTTGTTGTATCTTTTGCTCTCCCATCATCAACCCATGAAGCTTTTTCCTGGTGGCAAAGCAGACCCATCACCCTTTTTTTTCTTTGTTACCTTAGCTGCACCAGTACCAGTGTCAGTGGGGCACCGGGATGAGCCAGATCAGCAAACTGATTTGAGTTAAAAAATAAACTTAAACGTTAAGGCCTCAGATCCACTCCACTTGCATAATCCTGCAACAGTTGTGCTGAGAGAACAGAGGAGGACAAGGCTGGCCATGGATGAGAAGAACAGCAGATCTTCAGACACAAACCCCAAGTGTGAGTCTGCAGGTTTATATACCAGTCATTGTGTCAGTTCTTCTGCTTACTCTGAATCTTCATGCCTTTAAAATAGTTTTACACTTCTAATTCTCACTGCACAGTTAATCCAGTCCTATGGGCTCACTGGGCATCTGTGGAAGTCATCCTACAGTTTACAGACGAATGAGATTGGGTGTCTGGGAAGCAACAAAGCTCCTTTTATAAGACAAGAAGATGTGACTTTATTGTCCTTGTAATGAAACAATGAATAGTTCTGGCAACTGTAGAGGGAATGAAAACAGCCCCCAACTGCACAGCTTGGCATGCGCTGTGCAGCAGTTAAAATAAAAGTGGTGGCCAATGCCACCATTGTTCTCGTGGCAGCCTTCCACAATGTCCATGTGAACTGGCAGGGCCTCTGTGGGGCTGTGTCAGTGCAAAGAACTCTCCCTTTGCTGTCCTCCTCAGAGGGAGCTGCTGGTCTCGATGTCACATCCATCACTAAGGTCTGACACAAATCCTGTCTGTGCCAGCACATTGCACCAAACTGTGGTGTCTGTGTGCAGAGGCAGGTGGCATCCTGCTGGAGATGTGCTGCTCCTGCTATTGCCCCTCAGCAGGAGAGCTGTCCTGAGGTCCTTTGACCTGACTGAGTCCTTCCCATTGCTCTTGAGCAGTCAGTTGTGGCAATAGATTGTGAAAGTCCTGGTTGTGAGGGGCTTCCAGTCACAGCAGACTGAAGAAAGGTGGGCAAAGCAGACATGGACCTGCAGCAACCAAAAAAGGTAGAAGCAATTAAAATAGATTTAAAACCTAAGTGAAGGTAAGAGGTGTTGTTTCTTAACTGTTAAATTTCAGATTTTGAAAACTGTTAAATTTCAGGTATCAAAACCTGTTCAATTTCAGATCATCCTAGAGCTGAGGCTGGAGTTAATCTCATTCACTAATATTAGACATCAGGGTTTGGTTTAAGCAATATTTTAGGAATGAGACTCTTGTCTTTCCATGACTAATGTATAACCTGCCAACTACAGTGCCAGAAAAGAGCTTAATCTCTAATTAACTTGATCACAGCTTCAAGCTATTTAAAGGTAATAGTTGCAAGACCTGGTTATGAATAGCAATTAGAGATCCTCTTGCTTGCCTTTTACTGTATTTCAGTTCATCTGTCAAGCTGTATGTGAATCATTACAGGTTATTTATGACTGGATAAGCCTCAGGGATTAAAACCAGGGGCTTACTGACATAGAGATGATAAATATGACATACTGAAGCCATAAAGTACACTTTTGTAAAAAATGTCACCCTAGTGCAGAACCTCACCTTCACTGGGTATTCTCAGAAGCACTTGAGATGCTCTTGAGCAGCAATGGGTAACCCATACCAGTGGGAGAAACTTTGTTCTTCCAGAGGATTGCTGTGTTGGAAAAATGGTCTGGAAATGGCACAAGAAAGCCTTGCATCAGGCAAAAAAGGCAGCCATGCAGTAGGGCTAAACTGTGCTTTAGTTTAGGACTCTGTAAGGTATCTGTCTTTGGTTGCGTGCATGTAAAAGGCCACCCTTGTCTGCACCTGCCCCTCTGTAATAACCAGAAGGAACAAAATTGTTTTTCACCTCCTACAAACACAGTTCTAATATATACTACTATTATTTTCAGGTGCAGCACACCAACATTTTGTTTCATACCTTAGGAGCTTTTACAAAGCCAAAATTGAATTTAATTAGGGCTTGCTCTTGTAGGCAGATCTCCTGTACCTGGCCCTGCAGCCTGCCTTACCAAAATGTCAAACTTGCATGCTGACCTGTCCTCTGCAATGGCCTGGAAACCCAGTTACTGCTGGAAGGACGTGGTGTTCAAAGAGCAGTTTAAGTTGCCTGACAAAGCGACTGTGCATGAAACGTGCGAATGGCATGTAGCAGCACTAATTTCCATCTTGCATGCCAGCAGTGCAACTGCTCTATGCACAAATGCTGCTCCACTCCAGCGCCAGAAGCTGGCATATGCTGGCCTGATGTTGGCATTCTGAAAATCATGTCAAAGTGCTGGATCCCTGAGAGATATGCAAAAATATTTCCAACCTTTATTATTCTTCTTGAACTTTAATCTTCCCTGCTCTCACTACACAACTCTACCTACAATATCCAGCTCCATTTGGAATCTACGCATCCCAAACCTCTGTGCAGAAGGCTGCCCAGTAGCTTTCTATCAGGGAAGAATAGCAAAAGTGGCAGAAGAAATCCTCCCTTCCATCAACAGAATAGTTTTGAAAGTGGCTGTAACCACTTTGGCTGTAACCAAGAATAGTTTTGAAAGTGGCTGTAACCATGCCAAGCTTGACTTGTATTTTTCCATCCAACCTCCAGCTCTGTGCAAAGCCTCCACAGTGTGCTAAGGAAGGGGTTGTGGCTGAAGTCCTGAGCTGCAGCCTATGCTTGAGCTGCCCAGCTGCTAACAAGTTGTCCCAATAAGCATGTGCTACCTGGGAGACTGGGCTACCTGGAAATTGTGCTGATGATAAACACCTGGATATCCAGCCTAGCTCAAGAGAGCCAGAGTTAGGTGTAGTTTGGCTGAGCTTGTGTACATGGTCAGATTTCAAGATACACATGTTTTCATTTGAAATGTGGGGGGTTCATTCCCTGCTCAATAATGATTGCAAACAAAGTAAGTTTGGCATTAACCACTAGATGGTCCTCTTTCTCAAATTAAAAAAAAA